GGGTCTCGCTCTTGCTCAGGCTGGTCTCGAACTCCTGAGCTCAAATGATCCACCCGCCTCGGACTCCCAGAGTGCTAGGATTACAGGCGTGAGCCACCGTGCCCAGCCTCAGTAAATTTTATAATGTGGCTATATTTATATTCTTTCTTATTAACCATTTCCATAGGGGATCCTATCAAAAAAGGTTATCATGAATGTAGAATTATAGAAAGAGGAATAAAAGATGTAAACGGTAAAAAAAAAAATAACAAAAATTGCAAACTTGTCAAAATCTCTCCAACTTTATACAGTTATGTTCTGTAGTCAAAAAGCATAGATTTTAACATTGTATCTGGAATATCTGTTTTTTGTTTTTTTTTTTTTGACACAAGGTCTTGTTCTCTTGTCTATGCTAGATTGCAGTGGCATCATCATAGCTCACTGTAACCTCAAACTCCTGGGCTCAAGCGATCCTCCTGCTTCAGACTCTTGAGTAGCTGGGACTACAGGTATGTGCCATGAGGTCCGAGTAATTTTTCTATTTTTAGTAGAGGCAGGGTCTCACTCTTGTTCAAGCTGGTCTCAAACTCCTGGCCTCAAGCAATCCTTCCACCTCAGCCTCCCAAAGTGCTAGGATTATAGGTGTGACCATGCCCAGCCATGGAATACTTTTTAAAAACTCAATTGATTCTCAATGTGACACAGGATTTTTTCATGGCCTAGAGATACACAGTTGCCTAAAATGAGAGAGGTTATGCAAGTTTTAGTATCAGCAACTTTGCCTACATTATATTAGAACTCCCAGAAAATTACAGTTGAATAGAAGCCTTTTGAGAAAATCGGGTACCTGGAAGATGATTTTGAGCAATCTCTGACCACATTTGAGCCTGAAGATGTTGGTTCAATATCTTCAATTTGTCTTCTTAATTCTTTCTCTCTGTTCATTTCTTCCTCTTTTTCTCTTGCTTCTAAAAAGATTAAAAAAAAATTCCAACACATAGACTTCAAAATTTGTCAGTATTAGAGAGGCTGAAAATTAACATAGTCACAAAGATGTAACTTAAGGTTTTACCAGTAATAGCAAAAAATTATCAACCTGTAGTACAGCTACTGCAGAAAACAGTATGGTGGCTCCTCAAAAAGTTAAACATAGAATTACCATGTGATCCGGCAATTTCACTTCTGGCAAAAAGCAGGGTCTCAAAAAGGTATTGCAGAGCTGGAA